GAAAGTCGAGTCGAAGTCAACTAGTCGCTAGTCTGGAGCTGTGACAAACACCTTGTGCACAGCTATGGCATATGACACAGCGCTGCCCACGTGGCTGTTGCTCCTATAACAGCTTTTTTATCAGTTCTTTTGTTTTTGGGTCGTTATATTTCTCACAGATTTCTGCTCATTCTAAATCAGATACAGATAAAGTAGCACAGTAAAGATTACATTCATATGAATGCATTAGTGAGAGCGATTGCGTGTGTGAATTAATTCTACCTGGCAGCGTCTCTCTACTAGTAGTGAAGCTGTGGAATTTAGTTATTAAGAAATATATGTTTGAACTTTTCAGTTTCTAAGCTATTTTATTGAGAAATCACAGAACAGTGTTGACAATACATTTCTGCGCTGAATGATTCTGTGCGCGCGCGATGTGTGCGTGATGTACGAGCTACTGTCTGTAGCCTATGTGTGTGCAGCAGTGCATTAGATTAGAACGGCGATTAACTTACCTGTACAATAAGCTGTTTAAAACGTGCATTCTCCCATTCAATTTCGAGCATCCAGTAATATAATCTCACGTCTTGTGGAGCGCTTTCAGAGTATGCATTTATTTGTCATTTTAACTGTTTGGAAACAGAGCGTAAATGTGGAAGTCCTTCAAAGATTTCTTATCCTGTTGCGCCCTCTATAGGACCAGCGACTAGTCGACGTCAAGCTTAAAGCGTCATGGCAGAGCATTGAAGTCGACTAGTCTCCCGTTCCACCACATCCCAGAGGTGCTCTATTGGATTGAGATTTGGTGACTGTGGAGGCCATTTAAGTTTAATGAACTCATTGTTATGTTTAAAAAACAGTTTGAGATGATTTGATAGGAGGCAGGATGATGGATTCATGCTTTCGTGTTGTTTATGCCAAATTCTGATCCAACCATCCGAATGTCACAGCAGAAATCGAGACTCATCCGACCAGGCAATGATTTTGCCCAGTTTTGGTGAGCCTGTGTGAATTGTAGCCTCAGTTTCCTGTTCTTAGCTGACAGGTGTGGCACCCGGTGTAGCCCATCTGCTTCAAGGTTCGATGTGCTGTGCATTCAGAGATGCTCTTCTGCATGCCTGGGTTACAACAAGTAGTTGTGTTACTGTTGCCTTTCAATGATCTCGAACCTGTCTGGTCATTCTCCTCTGACCTCTGACATCAACAAGGCATTTTCGCCCTTTTTCGCCCTAGAGATGGTTGTGTGAAAAAATCCCAGTAGTTGGTTTTATTGAATTTTTGTTACTATAAATAAGATGCAAATTACAAACAATGCACAAATTACAAATTTAATAAACAGTGCTTTCAATATTTCATGTACAGTAGGTCTATTTACACTGACTCTTATTAATGCTACTGAAATTATTCAGTCAAGAGCAGTGAGTGATTTTCTCGTCTTTTTTTAATTTATTTGATTAACATTAATGACAGAGAGCAGCAGGTTATTAGGCTGCACAAATCTGAAGCACAAATCCAATATGCTGATACACTTTCGATTTTATCCTAGCTGATTACATTAAAAAAATGGCAAATTTCTAAAAATGTAATTAAAATGAAATTAAAGCTAAAAATATTGTTAAATACTTAAATAGTATATAAACAATATATATAAAATAATTTTACATGGTCATGCACCACTCCCATTATCTTCAGCACCAGTTAATTCCTTATTATACAAGTTCAGAGGGGAATTCAGACCTTAAGTCTCATGGTCAAGACCTTTTAATAAACTGCAGCAGTTTCTGAGCAAAAGCGAATTTAGTGTTACCATTGAAATACTTGCAGCTTGAGATATTTTGGTGCTGATAGCTAGTAGCTGATTGATGCTGATCGAAGAGAGTTTGTAAGCCATTTTGAACTGCATCAGACCTAGAGTATTCATGTTGGGATAAAGATGATTTCTGTCATGCTGGCGCCCAGACGTTATCCTCCTGAAGCATTTAATGCCTTATCATCAGTCCTTCGCTGTTACATGTACCAGCTAAAAACGCATGGCTTTGAGTCAGAGAATTCAAAGGCTTGTTCATCTGATGCTCCACATTTGAGAACATTATCTGAACTTTATCTGAACTTCTGTAGGGCTGCATGATTTGGGGAATACATCTAATTTGGATTTTTCTTAAATTATTACTAAATAAAATAAAAACTAAATAAGAATGTCATATTTCACTGTAAAATAAAATAAAAAATCAAGGATTTAAGAAAATAATATAATATTTTTTTTTATGTCTTAATTTGTTCTTTTTCAAATGTCAACCCTTTTTCAAAAACCCAACTTTTATTGTTAAAGTGAACCAAACTTGGAACAGAAGGCTGTGATTTAATCTTACATGCCATGTTGCGATTTTGTTATTTCGATTAATTGTGCAGCCCTACTGACTTAATACCTCCACCAACAATCATCTTGAGTGCAGTTAGTTAAAATAATGACAGCTTCCAAACAGGTTTCCTAACCACTCCCCCCTCTCTATCAAAGCCCTGCCCCCAAAGCCACTCTATTGTTTGAGACAGAATTTGAAGAAGGAAGAAAATCATACAGATTTGTAATGGTAACATTTTAATTTGTGACTGAACCATTCATTTAATTCATAAGCAGACTAAATACTTTTGAAGATTATATTTGTTTAAAGTAGGCTAATGGTGGAAGCACAGTTGTTCTATGACAGAAGCTGATGTTAATACAGTGAGTGAATACTGGGCCTGTGCCAGAACTGAAATGGTCCAGGTGAGGACATCAGGAGAGGACACTGCTCTCTCTCTCTCTGTGTGTGTGTGTGTGTGTGTGTGTAAAATCATACGGACAATAACACTCTCTATGTTAAAACCCTGTCTGAATCTTTGCATCAAGGACACTGGACAGTGGATTCAGTGACTTACTCTACACTGCTGTTGTCTTTCTCTTTTATTCTTCCAGCTACACTTTCTTTCTGTCATATCATGTTTGTGCTCTCTTTTCTTTTTTCTTGTGATAGTCGTGTCTGTGGACGTTGAGTTTTGTTGTCTTTATGTGTGTGCATTTTTTAAATTATTATTTTAAAACTGCAAAAGCTTTTCTTTTAGTTGTAGAGTTTGGGTTTGGATAAATCATTGGTAATTATGCACAGAAACAAGAAATATAAAAATTGTATCATATTTAAATATTAAATTAAATTACATTTTGAGCCCTAAAAGAGACCTATTTAGGACCATTAAGAATTTTTTTTTTATGAAAAAGTAAACATATTTCTTAAGTTTTGTTTAGTGTTTATTTAAAATGAGACAAATTTGCTATTACTTTAACCTTCAATCTGTCATTGTGACACTGCATTAAAATGCGCCCCGCTATTAGATGTTATTCTATGACATTAGCAATGTAATTCACATTCACTCTTATTAATTTTATTGAGAAACCGTGAAATAAGAACTGTGAGAGAAAACATGAATATTCAGAAATGTATATTTCAAGAAATTTAAAGCATTCGTACTGGCTTGTCTATTTGTCTGAGAGCTGTGTGTGGAGAGGAGGAGGTGTGCTGTGTTCAGTTCTGTGTTTTTCTGAATCTCTGAATGTTTCTTCATCTATTTACACATTGTTTTGAACTCTGCCATATAGTTCTATTTTGTGGTGTGTTCATTGAAACTCCAAAATGAGTATATTTTTAATGATTAAAAAAAGCCATTATTTCATATGAAAAAGTTAATAATTAGATCAATAATGATGATTAGATCAGATAACATTTTAAGCTGTTATATACGTTACAATGTGCCCCACCTATGGGGCATGTTGTCATATTTCACTTCTATTCCTTCGGGGTAAATAAAGAAGAAAATTATACACTGTAATAATGAAACAAGACAACATATTTGTAGTAAACCTGTGAAATTCATGTGAAAAATAAAAAGATACTCTGAACCCCACAAACCGAGAGTCAACTCTCCCCTACTATTTTATATCCACAAAAGAACAGGCTTGAGATCCACCAGTTGAGAATCACTGCTAATACGTCCTCATTCAGCTGGCTAAATGTGTGTATTTGTGCTATCAGATGTGTGTTTGACAACTTTGCAGTCAGCTGTTTAAACTTCTTTGGGAGTCTTCTATGGTCTGGACTGTCCCGCTGTCCTTTATTTCTCTCTTTCACTCACTGTCTCTTTCTGTCCAGCTCCCTGACAACAGCAAAAGTAGGAGTTCTCTTACACATTTTCCACGCACTTCTTTGTTTTCTTAATATCCCATCACCTCCGCATCACTTTCCGTGTTTTACAGCCGCAGGCATTCTTTTCTCCTCCTTCCGGAGCGCTTACGCCAATTTTTGGCTTGACATAATCTGAAATGGTGCTTAAGTGAATTTATGTTGCGCCCAGTGCATTAACTTCTGCCGTTTTTGCCTTTATGCTACGGAGAGCTTTTGTGCGAGCGCACGGAAGAAAGAGAGAGAATGAGAATTTGAAACCCAGACCACGGACTAGACAACCTATCAGTATTCAGCGGAGAAAGTGAGTGATGGAGAGAGAGAGAAACGGAGGAAAGAAAGGAGGAGGGGGTGATGTATCAATATTCTGAGTAGTGTTTGAGGGCAAGAAGAACGAACCGGGGAGGGGTGGGAGAGGGGCGCGGGTGTGCGAAACAGTCCGAGCGGGTTTATTCGCTCAGTGTTTGTTAGCATGAGCCCGTTGGGGCGAAATGATATCAATAGAGCAGTTACGCTGAGGACGGAGACTAAAGTATGTGTTTGTCTGAGAGAAGTGTTGTTCAATTCGAATGTGACGGAATCTTAGCCGAACGCTAGCCATAACTCCACTCTCCCTTGCTCTCTTTTACTCTGTGTGCTAATCAGCATTTGAAAGGCAGCTTTGACAGTGAGAAAGAAAAGTGAGGGCAGCGGGGAGGAGGGAGTGTAAACGAGAGAGAGAGAGAGAGAGAGAGGGAGGGGCCGTACAAGCATTTCTTTTATATTTACTAGCGATTGAGGGGAGAGAGAGTGAGCGGGTGAAGAGACGACTGGTGCGTGCAGCTTTCCCAAGAGGAAATGAAAAGAAAAGAAGCTCAACGAGGAAAGAGAGAGAGCCAAAGCGGGGAGCACGCCAGAGAAGGAAACAGACTCGCATCCTCTAACTCCAGTCATATCTGAGGCGATCCCGCTTGGAAAGTGAGGGAGGAGAGAGAGTGAGAGCGCGGTCACTACCGCCGCCGCCGCTGTGCGCCCACAAACACACGCACACACACGCTTTTGCGGCAGCAGACCGCTGTGTATTCGCCTGCTCTTTTGTGCCGGCAGCTGGGATTGTTCTTGGCCCCGTCTGACCCCCTTGTCACACCCCGTGTGAGTGTGTGTGTGCGTTTGTATGTGTGTGTGGGAGCGCGAGGGGTCCTGAAACGTGGACTGAACAGAGGGGAGGGTCACCGGTTCGGGTATCCGGACGGGTCCGAGGCATCTGAGGAAGAGGAGGAGGGAAACATCTGCCCCCAAAACAGCTGGGTGGACATGCACATCAGGTGAGTCCCCTTGTAGTGGGTAACACAACTTCCTCTTGTTCTAGTCCATGTTGACGTCCACATGCCAGACTGTCACATGTATATCTGACAGTTTTAAGTCTCACTCTGATGTAGATCCGATCGAAGGGTTTCTCCTTTCTCCTCTTAAACTTGTTGATGGCTGCATGCCTGGAGGCTTCCTGGGAAAGTTTTTGGGAAAGACACTTTGCTCATAAGTGCACTTGTTTTCCTCCCTCAATGACGGAGGTATTGGGAACGGAGGGGAGGAACGCTGGGGTTAATTGTGCGGACCGCCTCGGCTCGCTCTCAAACATCCGCTCTCACTTAATTAGTGGATTTTACAAGATTAGTGCGCTTTGCATTGACGCCGTGTTCTGTGGAAGGTAGTGAATGGTAGCGGCGAGACGGCCGTCTTCTGTTATCTGATGTCTTTGGAATTAACAGCTTCTTCTAAATGACTGGATTTATATTAGGGATGAAAAGCACGGGTAAATATGAACCTTTTCCTTCATCAGTCAGTTTGGGCTTCGCATGGGATTATTAAAGAATCTAAATAGTTTGTAATGATGTGTTTGAATTCAGTTCTGCTTGTTTTTTAATTAACTTTTTGAGAAGAAAAAAATTTAAATACACTTTTTAAATGCATATTTATTATTGTAACAAGAAGTGTCAATATTATTGCATAATAATAATAATAGTAATAATAATTTATCTCACTGTTATTATTTGTCATGCATCTTAGACAATTATTTTGATGCTGGCAGCACTTTAGATTGCATTTAAGTTGCAACCTTAAGCGAAGTCACTGTAGTTCTATATATTCATTTAGCACATATTGCATGTGACTATAATGAATTATTACAGTAATAACAATGACTGTATTTTTAAGCAGCTCCACAAAATATTTTTACATTAAATCAATTTGTCAGTATTAGTCTGTACTTACCATGTACTTACAAAGTTATTACAATGTAACAAACTAGATTGTAAAGTGTAAGTACAATTCTCATTTATAATGTGTATTTTCCAGCTAGATTGCTTAATAAAAAGAACATTCATACTGTTTATTTGTTGTGTAGCTATGCTGGACAGTTGGAATTATAGGGCAGGAATTATTTTGACACTTTCACACTTACTATGGGAGCAGTTGCCCAGGAAAAACACAAAAAGTGAGTGAACCTGCTTGGGACTCTGGGTCATTTTAGGTTTAGGAGGGTGGAAGTTTGCTTGCTGGTTTCTTTTCATCATTTTGCTTTGGTTGAGTGTTTCGGTCAATAGCTTCTGGGAATCTACCTGTTGCTCTTTAAATGTAATTGTCTGAACACACTGTAAAAAGTGAAAAGGAGCAGATAATAAAGCTTAAGCTTTTCTACCTAACATACCAGTTTAAAATGATTGTGATTATGTAGAGTAATGCAAAGTTATTCAGTCATATTAAAAAAAAAAATTAACTTGAATAAAAGTTGTTTATTTAGATGTTACTGCAGTACATATAGAACATTTTTTTTGGTAACAGTTTTTATTGCTTATTGCTTTTAAATTGTCTTTATATTTTTGTTGTTGTTTAGATTCCAGCTGGACAGTGTTTGCTGAATAAAACATGTTACTAATGGTTACTATAATTTAACATAGTGTAACTCTATTAATCACGGATCCAAAAATGGCCATTTTATTGAAAGTGAGCCGGTATGTTAGTAAAGCATACACATCCAAAGACTATATCCGCATTTGGGGGCATCTCGGAAAAGAACGTGAATAGAGAATTGATAGAAGTTATCCAGGTATGTACGAGGGAGCTATAGGACCATAAAAGCCGTCACACACACACTTGGAGTGGGACAGACAGGCCTGGTGACAGACAGTGTCAGCGAGGTGTCAGTGAGAAGCTGTTGGTGTCACACTTGGTTGACCTGATCTGTGGTCAGGCTGTCCACTGCAGCCCGTTGTGACTCTTTACATAACCACTTCCTGCCACTCACACCCAGCTCTGCAGGGACACGCGCGGATATTTATATACTCAACATACACACACGCACACACACACATCGATATGCCCTTATAAACACACACACACACACACACAAACAAGAGCCCCTGTCGATATACAGACCCCTCAGTCTTCTGCAGTCAAGAAGATGTGATCTTACTAACTGCTTTTGACCTATACTGCAGCCTTGAAATGATCGCTCATCATCCATAACATGTACATAAGCATTACACAAGTGAGACAGAGCACCTTACGACAGTCAGATATTGTCAATATATTTTTGAAACCAATGGTGAATCTCATGAAAATGTTTAGGTCGCATTTCACCCCAAAATAATAATAATAAAAAAAAAAAAACTATTAACATAAAAATTGTTTAAATGTAAATAAATTCAAATTAATATTTTCAAACATCTTTGCATTACAAATAAGCTTATTTTCCCACAAATTCACAAAACAAAAAATCTCAATGGTGTAAACTTTTATTGCATTAAAGTAACGCGTTTTTGGGAATATTTGTTTAATTGGCATTAAAATAATGTATCAGTTCAATATAAGCTTCATTTTCTTAATGCAAAATATAATTTCTTAGTTTTTTCTTTTGATTTGAAAATGAAATGTTCATGAAAGGTTTTATGTGATTCACACACATATTCTGCAGTTGTCCATGTGGGAAAAAAAGCAACAAACATGCACTCAGTATATTAAATGTATCCATAATAGTGCAAAATCCTCGTATTCTCACTGATGTGCAAATGGTACTCCGCTTGATACAGGGACGTTTAAATGCACTAATATGGCTGGATACAGACTAGACTTTTCTCTGACATCATCTGCGCAGCGGTCTCTGGCTGTTTGACCCTATGTGTGTTTCAGGACCCGTTCCCTTCCTAAGGGGCCGAATACTGTGTGTGTTTCAGATTTAACAGTATTCACAATGCAATTCTTCAATATTTTGAAATGCGTATTTTTTCTTTATAGTTCTTTCATTTTAAAAGTTATAGAACTGTGCACATCCAACCTGAGTCAATGAAATAAAGATCATTCAGTCTTGGAATAACTGAACAAGACATGTTTATATTGAAATCTCTGATTTATGTTGGCAAATCTGAATGAGAGACCGTTGTATAATATCTGGAAGAGACACATGTCAAGATTACTGGATTTAAAAAAAAAAAATTTTCACCACATACTCTCCGTTTAATCTCACTGCTGTCTAGGAAAAAAAAAAACAGAGATATTAAAGAGATTTCATTGAGATCCCCCCCCACTAACTTTCTTTGTGAACATCTAATTTTGTCACTGTTGAATGATTGCTTATGTCCTTAGAGCTTCAAGGGTTGAGAAAATCTGAAAATTACTGGTATATTTTCCTCTCTCAAGCTTTCAATTCCTTAGTCACTGTTTTGCTATTTAAAATTTTATTTAAAAAGAAACACAAAATTTGTCTTCATGTGAGGGACGTATGGAAGATCTCAGGGGCCAGTCGAGCATCCATTCCGCTTTCCGCTTCACCGTTGCGGGTCTGGGCGGGTAGGGTCCATTTGATCTAATCAAATGGGGTATTGATTCCATTTGATAATTAATGGGCCTGCAGGTGAAGATGAAGACGCAGCCTCCAGCTCGAAGGATTTGAGAGGAACCTTGGACTGGGAGTGATGGGAAGCCGCCAAGGTCAGCGGCAAACCACGAGAGCTGTGTCCAGCAAGAGCGCAGAGCGAGAGAGCTCCAGTTAAACGAGATAGGGAGAGAGAAATGCTGTTGACCAGAGCTGATTTATCAGCGTTCGAAGAAAACGAGACAACATCTGACTTCCTAATGCTGAACTTCAAATGCAGAGAGATGCGAGGAGAAATTAGTATTCTGCAGAAAAAGCTCCATATATTGATAGAAAACTACGTGCAGTATATATACAGTATACGTGTGTGTGTGTGTGTGTGTGGCTGAACTATTTGCACTTCAAAGATATCGGATTAATAATTTCAAAAGCAAATATAATTTAATGTTACAAGCTATAATATCATTTCTGCAGTTATTTATATTAAATATTACCTTGATATGCTCTTTATAAGTGCATCCAAGACTGAGAGGAGTTCAAATTTTTTTTTCTGCATGAAAATAGAATTTTCTTTTCTGCATGACTTTGTGTTAATCTTTTAAAGATGACTTTTGTTCTCTCGGATGATTTTAGTGACATAACTACTTTGTTTTTGCGACTTTTGCAGCCCTTACAGAAATAACAACCATGAACTTCTTTTTTTGCTGACACTAATTAAGCCAAAGTTTGCACCAAAATAATTTTTTATTTTTTTTACAAGAGAACAAACTGGACTTACAGAATTGCATTGAACTTTAAAGTGATATTTGCTGTTCAGATGACAAGCTGCAATGAACATTAACAGTAAATGAATATGGAAGGTATTGATTGACTTTCCTTTTACTATCACTTTTGATGAATAAATTGTCAAAGGACAGCATATGGCATATGAGGAAAATTGGAAGAAAATACTATTTCAGTCTTTCTAACTAAAAATTTGTTTACTTGTCGGTTCTTTGTAATTATTTGTGAAATGTACTAGCAATTGTTAAAATTATAGTAAGTTCTACACTAAATGTGTTATTGTAGTTGAGAACCACTCTTGCTTTCTTCTGCAAGACACAAAAGGAGAAATTTCACAGATTTGATTTGTTTTCCATGCATTTACACTGAATGGGAACTTTAGCTTTCCAACTTCAAATATGATGTAAAAGTCTTCCGAAGCCAATTGATAAATGCGTTTCATGAGTAAATGATGAGTAAAAGATGAGTAAAGGATGACCGAACTGTCATTTTTGGGTGAGCTGGTGCTTAAATTTTGTCCAAAGCTGAAGGCGAGATTTCAGCGTCAGTAGTCAACCCCTCAGTGTCAGATTAACCTCTAGAAAGTTATGGTTAGAAAGCTGTGTGATGTGACTGGCCCGCCACAGCTGTTTGCTGTTTAGATTTTGTTAAGAAAAAGAGGGAAAAGGAGGC